TTAGTCTCCGTTCAGACACTGTCTGAAAACGGGGACTCCTGGATTGACCTACATTGTATATTTGTTGAATGTGCCCACTTGTATCTTAGACATGCCTGGACCAATCACATTCATACTTCACACATACAACATTCACCTTGAGATATATATGCATATCCAAAGCTGGTCGATTGGATGCCATTTTTGTTCTCAACATTCATTAACATTAAACTTTTCTGAAAGCAGAATGACACTCGTACAATGGACATCATCAGACCTTGACGCCAGCACATCGTGGTTACCATTGTCTGCCATATATACAAATTCATATCAGAAGCACTATTGCAGATAAAAACATTGACTCAGTGCTATATTGAAGACATTGCACGCTAGATCTAATCAACATATTTAAAGGGCGGTGTTAGTCGTGCCACACATTTTTTAGCAAAAATGACAAAAATATTCATAAAAAATTAGAGAATTGAAGATATCATCATGAAATGAACAAATCTGAGAGAGAACCACATGTAGTACCTATATATATATTATCAAAGCAATTGGACTTGCGGTTTTTAACAAGAAGTCGAAAATATCACTTTTTACCAAAAATGACAAAAATATTCATCAAAATTAGAGAATTGAAGATATCATGAAATGAACAAATCTAAGAGAGGTCTACCCAAGGTACACATACACCAAGTATCAAAGCATTCAGGCTTATAGTTTTCAAGAAGAAGTCGAAAAAGTAAAACATTGACATGGACGACGGACAACAGACGACGACGGGCAATCACTCGTATGATAAGCTCCGCTCGACAAAGTCGACAGCGGAGCTAAAAAAAATGCATAAATATAATATCTTGAGCACTATTGTGATAGAGATTTAACAGTGCTACAACAGTGTTGGCTATGGACAGATTTCATTCAAACTGGGTACATACATTGAACATAATGCGACCTTAGCGTGCACCTCTGTTTTCAGCTCTACTGTCAACAAAGATGGACTAATCAAGGCCCCGCGAGGAAGACTCACTTTAGATCAATGTTTCAGTGTTCTGAGCATTAATTTGAAATGGATCTTTACTGAGGAAGCTTTGCATATTGAGTAGCAAAAATTGTTATTTTTGTTTCTCACTCAAAATGTTACTGGTAGTATATGTACATGTGATTTCATTATATGAACATTCTGAGTTTGTTCTACACAGTAAGCTTTACACCATGCATAAAATGGACAATTGTTGTAATATCACCTTCCGTCAGGTGTTGAAGTGTATTGCAATTTTGAAATCATCTCGTAATTAACACAACTTATAAATTCTTTGGTGAAATATAATAAAGCCTCACATTCGTCATGCACCTTTAATTTTAATATTCACATAAATATCAAATATATGACTAACAATTGTTGATGCTCAATTGTCTGATGGGTTGATAAGTACTGCCACCAGTAGTTAGAACTCTAATCAGCCAATCTGTTTATTTTCACTTCAGTGTCATCTATCGTTAAAGCGGGGATGTTGTCACCTGCGCATGCGTCAGATGGCCATAGCGTGTCATTGTTTACAAAATAGCGTCTACCCATGAGCCTTTGCGTGTACAGCGTGTGTTGTTATCATCGCTTAGGACTCGATTCCCGTGCAGGTGACGACCCTCCCGCTTTATAAATATTTATTGAAAGTAGGTATATAAACAATAACATATACGTACCATACATACTTACTATGTCATACGTTCAATACAAGCAAAATGATTCATATGCTGAGCCATCAAGCAATGACTTCTCTGAAATCTCCAGGTTTACAACCAGCTTATTTGGGGGATAGATACTTTACCTGGCTATACTGATGCAGGCATCCATTTTGAGTTTAGACACCAGCCATTACAGACACACAGACTTTTCAAATCACTTGTACAGTGTATTACTTTTTTACAACAGTTGCTTGAGGAAAATTGAAATTGTGTACAGGTTGCCACAATTGTGATGTCATGCTTTTTTGCCCCAACCAGAATACACATGAAAACAAGCCATGCATGGCACAGTCCCTGTTAGTTATCAAATTTAAGATATATAGTTTTGTTTATAGTAATATAGCTGGAACATAAACATGTCAGGAATATGATTTTTTAACATTAAAATGATTGACATTTGTATCTGATCGTCAAACAAGTACTTGTCCATATTGAGAGATATTGCTCTGGAACAGCATTCAAAATCAGCCATTTTGAATACATGTATATATATATATAACATGATGTATAACGTATATATAAAATTTAAATACATGTTGTATAATAAGTCAAAGCATTTAAGAGTTATGGCTCTAGAAGCCCAATCATTAAAACAAAATGGCCGCCAGTCAGCCATTTTGAATCCAATCTGAAAAATAAAATGATGAGCATCAGGAACCCGTCTAATGTATGTACCAAGTTTGAACGAAATCCACCCATAAATGCTTGATATTTGATGATTTTTTAGCACAAAAATGACCACCATTCGGCCATTTTGAATAGGATAGTCAAACCAATATATCTGTTTATCTATGACATGATGTATAATGAATAATTAAAATTTGAAAATATTATCAGTCAAAACAAGTCAGGGGTCTAGAAGCCCATTCATTAAAACAAAATGGCTGCCAGACAACCATTTTGAATCCGATCTGAAAAATAAATGATGTGCATCAGGAACCTGTAATGTCTAATATATGTACCAAGTTTGAATGAAATCCATCCATAAATGCCTGAAATGCTTGATATTTGATGATTGTTTAGCACAAAAAAGGCCACCATTTGGCCATTTTGAATAGGATCGTCAAACCAATATATCTGTCCATCTATGACATGATGTATAATGAATATTTAAAATTTGAACATAATCAGTGAAAGCAAGTCAGAGATATGGCACGAGAACCATATTCATTAATACAAAATGGCCGCCAGTCGGAATCTTATCTGAAAAACAAAATTATTTGCATCAAGGTCCCATAATGTCTAATGTATATACCAAGTTTGAACAAAATCTATCAGTAAACAGCCGAGAAATGGGAGATTTTTAGGATTTTTTAGCACAAAAATGGCCGCCATTCGGCCATCTTGAATCAGATCGTGAAACAAAATGATGTGCGTCAAGGTCCTATAATGTCTAATGTATATACCAAGTTTGAACAAAATCCATCTGTAAACAGCCGAGGAATGCTTGATTTTGATGATTTTTAGCACAAAAATGGCCGCCATTCGGCCATCTTGAATCAGATCGTGAAACAAATTGACGTGCATATGTATAATATCATGTATGATGTATGTGTGAAGTTTGATTGTGATTGGTCCAGTCATTTCTAAGATACAGGTCCGAAGACATGCACACACACACACGCACGAACACATGGAGGTCAAAACATAAGTCCCCGTTTTCGGACTGCGTCCGAACGGGGACTAAAAATATGTGTGGATCAGCACTGAGTTGCAATCAGCTGCGACGGCATTGCCCGTAACTAGTTTACGAACCAAAACTCGTATATGAATACTGTAATCAGTTTAATTTTCACTGCAAGAAATATTCATGCTTTCAAAATTTGATGCAGCTCGCAAAGACAAAATTTTGCACAAGTCAATGACACTATCATAGAACTTGAGAAATTTTCATTGCTACAAACTTATGTTTTTTTCACTCGCAAAATTCATGAAAACTTGTCCCTCACAAAACTAAAACGGCTTATTTAATAACAGCAGTAAAGCAAACAAATGGTACTTCAAGTTCTTTACAACTACTCACTGCATACGCATACGCATACAAATACAAATAAGTCTGTTGAACACCAAATTTGACAACCACTCACAAACAAGTTATTGAACAGCAAATAATTGCAACACTTCTTCACCAGTATCCCTTTTTTATTAATACAGATTAAATTCTACAAATAAAACACAAAAGTTGGAAAATATGTAAATAGGCCAATGAACTGAAATTGTGAAAATTATGATCAAAACAATATTACCGATATATCGAACCCTTGAAATTATTATTTACCATGCGAGTAGAAACTGATTTCAGATTTAAAGGCATTCTACTTGTCAGCCAGTCAAGACTCTGCAAGCCATGATAATAAAATAAGTTACAGTGCACGACAGTAACCTGTGAAAGTTTTATAAATTCTACCTGGGTGTTGATTGCCAATTGACCAATTTCGTTTTATAAATGAGTGTTTGATAAACTAAGGTAACAGGTTTCTGTCACACACTGTATCTAACAAGAGTTTAAGTATAATGCTTTCACTTTGATTTTAAATTCCCACCATGTTAATTCCCGACGATCGGTTATACCTCCGAAAAACTATTTAAATGAATACCAGCATAAATCAACAGTAACTTGGCATTAATTTCATGATTTGTGTTACAATAAAATCTGATTTTTATATAAATTCATGTTTATCGTCAAATAGTAGAATGAATGTGACCAATACAGTACACATCCGAATCATTGAAGTGAAATATGCATGACAAATAAACAATTATTTCATGTGACATTAATGTAAATATATGTAATAAATATATACACCCCAATTGTTTCCTGTAAGTTAATCTCTCATTAACAAGTAAAATGTGTAGAGCCTAGTAATCAGCCAATCAAGCTTGTTTATTTGCTATTCTAATTCAAATTCAAAACATGCCACTCTATATTAAAAATTGTCATGTTTCCCAATAGCATTGAGTAGGTCCCACTCCCTGTAAAGGATGAAATTGATCACATCACTGCAGCCTAGAGTTAATTTAAATGCAAGTTTTTTATAGTTTTGTTAAATACCATTATCTGTTCATTAGTTGGACCAGTAACAAATTATTATTTTTGGAGGTGGCTGAAATGGTGAAATTTAAAAAACTGAATATTTTTTTAGTGGTTGAATGGGTTTTAGTCAACCACTTGTAGAACTGAAGCGATCAAGAAGGTATTTTCAAACAGTAAAGCATGAAACACTGAAAAGCTAAAAGGTATGCTCTACCTGAAGCTTATCTCCAATATACAAAATTTGCCATAAGCTTAATTGTGAGAGCATACACTACTAATAGAACTACTACTAATACACTAAATAGTTATTTCTTGTTCATTAAAAAAAATTACCAAGGTGAATCCCCAGAAAAGCAGGAGGTTGAACTAATAGCATGTGGTCCAACTAACAGATCACAGTAGTCGATGTATATGTGTTCTCGTGATGACCTACATGTACTTAAGTGATGGAGAGACGATAATTATACAGTTCATAAATTTGAAACCCCACACTAGTGGAAAGTTCAACCAACTAATATTCAGTGAGTGCACAACATAAATATTAATAAGTATGCTGGGAAATTAATACTATGAAACACAGACAATCAAATGACAACATTTTTAATAATTTCTCTCGACATTTGCAGATATTAATTAAGACAAAAATACCACCCACTTCCTCCAAAAATATTCCACATACACAAATCCTGACAAAATTTCTGTTTAAGTATAGACATATAAACCAATAATCACAATATACCGATAACAGAATGATTATGTTAAAATACCTAATAACAAAAATCACCTCATATTATTTAAAAATCACAAATACATTTATCATAATTTCTAAGTGGGGGGGGGGGGGGTATGTAGTGCAAGTGTGGTATATTTTGTGGTATGTAAAATTATCCCACTATATTACATGGAGGCTTTATCACCAGCATGTTAAGTGGCCTTAGAACTACACAAAACTGACTAGGGAGTCAATATTGGCTGATGTGGGCTTCACATTATCAACCCCACCCACAATTTACAATAATATGTTTAAGTTCTCGCACGAAAACATGCATGAAGAAAATTGTAAGTCATAAGCTACACACAGTTTAAGGCTGAATTTCTGTAACCAACATTTTTTTTTACAAATTCATTGAAATAAGCGAAGAATGTAAAAGTGCAAAGCAATAATATGTTCAGATTTGTGACTGTTCTTTAGAAATATCAATTTTAATTGGTAATGGTTCTGCTTCATCATCGCCGTGCGCTAAGGTAGGTTTGATATAGATTGGATATGGATATTTTCCTTTGCTTTCACTCAAGTATTCCAAATCACCATAAATACTTAGTTTCTGTAATAAATTAGAACAGAGTTAATGACAACAAATAAGTCACACAGATTAAAATTTTTAAAAAAATATAGAAGAAAATTGGTCTTGGGCAAGATTTAATAATTTTTTTTTTTTATATGAATAGTATAACCAAGTTTGATATTGTTTAGATGAAAATTACTCAAGCTTTTGAGCACATCTGAAAAATTCCTAATAAAGACAACCACAATTTTCTCATACAGTAAAACCTGTCAAAACCGACCCCTGGATAAACCGACCTACTGTCAGAACCGACCGATTTATGTAGTCCCGAAATTTCTCCATAGACGCCTATGTTAAAACAACCTGTGAAATCCGACCACTGTCTACTCCGCACACCGACCGCATTGATCGGTCCCAAGTCCAATATTCACACTGAATACATCGACCATCTGACCAGTTGCACCACATCCGCTATCTAGTAATCCGGTCTGCCCGACCTAAAAAGTGTTCATTGTTTAAATTTACCGTGAACGTCACAGAAACAATATCAAATCTCACACTACAAGTAACGTCTCGTGTAAAACAATAGCAACTGATTAAGTTTTTCACACCACACGCCCTCGCATCGCGTGATGTCTTGACAGTGTAATGACCCCGGATATAAACAAATGATCGGGGTCATCAACTTCAATTGCGGTGAAGCACACTGCATTATGACTTCTTCAATAATCAAGACATTGAGTTTTCTTCTTTCCATAACGATTCTGATCGACAATTTTGTGCTTTCGAATGTTTCCGTAAAGGGGGCTTCAAGATTGAAATTTATGATG